TACGGCAATGAAACCTATTTCGGAAACAAAATATGGGAAAGAGTGAAACATAATTGAAATAAGAAAATCTAAACCAGTCACACTGTGTCTGTGTTGTCCTGCGCATGTAGCGGTTTTACGACTGGCTGATCCCCTTCCAAGGAATCCTATCAACTAAGATTAAGGAACTGAAGTGAAAAGAAGCGTTTCACGGATGCCCTAAGCTCCAAGTGAGAGCAGCAGGAAGATAGATAGATAGATAGATAGATAGATAGATAGATGGACAGATAGATAGATATATAATGTTGCTGCAGAAATCTCTTATTGACGATCATAATAGTTGAGCACAGGCTTCAAGCTCTTCAGAAAAAAAAACAGTCAAGAGAAAATAGCAAAGAGGCCATGAGTGAGTTTGGACAATGCTGGATTAGTTTCGAATTTCTTTGTAGTTCTCAATTACAAAAAGAATTCGAAACATTTATCATAAAGAAGAAGAGGTGTTCCGGGCTCTAAGGTCCTGTAGCCCGGAAATAGAATGGAATTCGTTTTCTTGCGTGGCTTGCAATTCGACCATGAAGTTGGAGCCGATATATTCCTCCGAAAAGCCGGGCTTCCTCCGGACTCCGGGGGGTTACAGACCTTAAGTTCGCATTCTGCACAGCAACCGCACTCACATCTTCGAAACCAACTTTGATTACATAATGTATAGAAAAGGCGAAGTTGTCCCTGTGCTTAACTAATTAATCACTTAGCCCTGAAAGCGTGTGGGGGAGTGGATACATAGATCTACATTTTATTGACTTCGGCAATAACTGGAGGTGAATGGTCAGTTTCACGCTCCGTCCCGGGGGACCCCCACCTGGTACCCATTGGATAGGAGGCTGGGTGGACCCCAGAGTCGGTCTGGACGACGAAATTCTCGACCCTACCTGGACTCAAGCTCCGACCCTGGGTCGTCCAGCAGCCCGTTGCCAGTCGCTATACTAACTTATTGTGTAAGGGTTTAATTGTCTGTTTTACATATTAACAATAAATAGTGAATCTTAATATCAGTTGTTTAGTCATTAACTTTAAAGCTTTGATTTGTCGCCAGTCTGAAAACTAACAGCACATACTGTCTCGTTCATTTATGTTACTTTGTTATAAGGGAAGATTTAAACACAATTCTAATGATTCCCTTTATATCAAATAAGGCACTTCTGTAATTGCAGGCAGTCTCTTCCTATTCTTATTTTAGGTAAATTTTCCTTTCTCCTAAGTAACAAGAGGACCATGTATGTTAGTGTATAATTTATAATTCCTTCTCCGGAAGGCACCTGTTAAGTGTGCACTGTACACTGCACAAAATTGGCGAAATTTATTTCAGCTTTTCTTTTCATTTCTTTTACCCTTTGAAGCCTGGAATATATTTAAGTGATTTCTCAGTTTCATTTCCTACCGTACAAAAGACAGACCGCTTCTCCATTATAAAGACCAATCGATTAGTTCTATTGAAGGAAACAGTCACTGCTTATTGTGACAATAACACAGAACACACGAATGAAAACTGTGGGTAGAAAGCAGACATTTGAATATTAAAGTAGGTGGTACATATAATAACCAGTGTACCTCGCCTGCCTACGTTCGGGTTTTCTTCTTTAGTGTGTGGCATAAACCGAGGGACTTGAAGCGTTAACTCGGGGAGATGTCCTTCGTTACACGCCGAAGGGGAGGCTGGGTGTGTCGAGAACCAGTGAGTCTGTAGTGGAGAAGGGAAACATATGCCAATCTCGGGAATCGAACTGTGTTCATCCCAGCAACAGCCAGTCACTTATATATTATTAAATGTTTTGTTATATAATATTCTGAGTATCTTGCCGAATTTNTGTGTGTGCATCTCTAAGGATCTCTTTAAATGTAGGATTTTCATTCTCATGAGTCGTTGTTTACATTCCCTACAGTACGGACAATATTTTGTAAGATGAGGCACCGACTAAACCATTAACATTAATGTACTACATCTACATCACGAACCTCCTATACAATCTTATATACAAAAAGGAAAAATATAGAATATTCCAATTTGTCCTTGGGAACACAACAAAATTACAAAACCAACGACTGATTCGATGATATAAAATATTAATGTAAAATTTTATTGTTTTATACTATAATTTCTGTTTTATATAATCTGATTTATTGTATTTTTTACGTCAATTGTTTTATACGATTAATAGTATTGTATCCAATTTTACTAGTACTGCAATTCAGTGGTGTATATATGTTAACCGTGTATTTGCCTGATGATGGCTATTGATAGCCGAAATTAGGTGCTGATCTTGATATTTGTTGTATTGTGACGGTTGCAATAAAGAGGTTACCAATTTGATTACATTTTTATATAAGACTTATAATAATTCTGATACAAGTTTGAATATATTTACTGAATGCAAAACCAGGGACATATAGTAAACATTATTATAATGTAATGTACGAATTCATATATAAAGCGCAGTTCAATAATTTACTGATATGTTTAATATGTTCTACCTGATAATGGCTTTATAAGCTGAAACACGCAGTGCGATTTCATACTATTAAGACCAATAACGTCATTGTACACAGTCAGATGTGAGTGAGATCTTCATGGTTGTTGTGTTGAGACGGAAACCAAATTAATAAGTTATAAGAATATTACGTTTATTGCAGAACAAGACAATAATATGGTAAATCTAATCGCATCGCATGTTATAAAAATTATCTATTTAATTTCCTTAACTACTACACATATATCAACATATTTAGAATACTATGAAAGTCACGGATCCGAAGAAGTCATACGCGTCAAGATTTATTCGAAGTTCTAATATGACAGAATTTTTCTGGAGAGAATTTCTAATTTCAGTAGCATGACAGTCACAGCAGACCAACAGGGACAAAAGTAAATCCACTTGCTAGCACTTGATGTAGAACATTTGTAACAGAATTTAATCAGATCTTGTTAATATTTTCTGCGATGAAATACATTAAGAGAGCGACTGACCTCTCCGTTATGAGTTGTATTCATTTGATGCTGAAATTTTTTCGCTTAGTGGGAGATAGAGTCCAGCTGGGTTCACTCGGCACGGCGGCCACTGATTGCCCTATTGTAGCTTGCCCCGGGTGATAATGATGATGGAGTTTGGTGGAATGAAGATTGGCAGGGAAACCGAAGTACTCGGAGAGACCCCGCCCTAGCACCACTTTGTCCACCACATCCTATTTGCCCAGACCCGGGATCGAACCCGGGCCGCCACGGTGGGAAGCCAGCGACTAACCGCTTGAGCTAGGGCACGGTCTGATGCTGACATGATCTTAAAATTACAGAATTCTCAAGCCTATTTATAATGTAACAACCCTTCCTGTAAGCCGTATCTATGAATCACTCAGTCACTCCAGAATCTGAGCCCTTTTTGAGAAACTGCCAGTTTTGCAGCTACTCAAGAACTTCCCAGCATTTTATGGGACCCAAAGGTTCATTACCGTGTTCATAGGAGCCCTCCACCGCTCCCTATCCTAAGCCTGATAAATCCAATCCATACTGTCCCATTCTATTTGTCTAAGATACATTTTAATATCGTCCACCGACCTACGTCTTGGTCTTCCCTGTGGTCACTTTCTTTCTGGTTTCCCCACCAATATCCTATATGCATTCAACGTCTCTCCGGTTCGTGCTACATTCCATGATCATCTCATCCTGCTTGACTTGATCATTCTAATTATACTTAGAGAAGAGTACAAGTTATGAAGCTCCTCATTATGTGGTTTTGTCCAACCTCCTGTCACTTCATCTCTCTTCGGTCCAAATATTCTCAGCACCCTGTTCTCAAACACTCTCAGTCTATGTTCCTCTTTAATGTCAGAGAAAAACTTTCACACCCATACAGAACCACAGGCAAAATTATAGTTCTGTATATTCTAACCATGATGTATTTAGATAGCAGACGAGAAGACAGTATCTATGAATATCACGCTCAAATTATCTCACTAAGTACTTCTTGAGAATCTGGTAGTTGCTCAATTAATCACGAAATTGTCAGGATCTTCAAATCACGACGTACATTGCCGTGTTGACAAGCGTTCGCGAACTGATTCCTGTCGACACACTCGAACCTAATTTTCTGAAGTCTTTCTTTACATTGTCCACTCTTAGTTCTAGGAGGCCACGTCTTTTTTTCACATTTTACAACTAATGCTTTGTATCTGCGTTCGAACCGCTCAAGTGCGTGCTGCATGTCCTTCTCATCCCATCTTTACCCTTAGTGTTTCCCTTAGCATTCGTACTGAACATCTTGCTATAGATTGGTATCGGGAAGCGCTTAGTTCAAATCTTAGGCAGCGCCATAGCTCAAGCGGTTAGTCGCTGACTTCCCACTGCGGGGGTTTGGTCAAGTGGGATTTGTGGTGGACAGTGTGGCACTGGGGCAGGTTTTCTCCGAGTACTTCGGTTTCCTCTACCAATCTTCATTCCACCAATTGCTCCACAATCACCCTCACCTATTATCTGGGTCTGGTACAATAGGCCGGAAGGAACTTAGTCCCACCCCACTAGCAATAAAAAATAATAGTTCAAATCTTAATAGGAACTTCGGTTATCATGACTAAAGTAGCCAATGGTTTCCTTCGGTTCATTTAGACAAATACTGGAATGGTGCCTCAGTTAGGACATACGCAGTTCCTTCTGAATACGTTCCATTTCATCATTCAACTATCATCATACCATTCGAAACTATGTAATCTCTGTACTGAAAAATTATTATTAACTAACACCCTGAAAGAAAGTAAGAACCCGCATTCATCAGAAAAGATGGACAATATGTTTATTTGTCCAGCACTTGTAACCTGACACAAAAACGGGGTTTATATTCTAAGCAAAAAGCTGTGTACATACATAACTCACATAGAGATTCATAGAACAGTTACACGTCTTAAATTGTGTTATTAAAAGTCTGTCACTTGTATTTATATTTTTTATTACGTTATTGACTCAGAAGTTTACTTACTGTACCCGAACTCCAGCGCAGAATCTGGAGCAAAACACACTGTAGTTTTCCTTTGCTAAACCTGGAGTCCTCCTACAATTCACAAAGTCGCAAAATTCTTAGTAAAAGTCCTTCAGATTCTAGAAAGTAGATTCGGTTGAGTTTTCAGAACTGATCGAAATGTTTGAGGTAGAACCACGAGTTAAGTAGCCCAGTAGCGCGGCGACAGTTGAACCAGGAGACAGCAATGAACCATACTAAGGGAAGGCATCGCTTTCATATATATATACATCAGGGTTTCACATACACGCGCGTAGAGTTACACGCGGTGCAGATGGGGGTAGACCGGCGCAGGGCCCAAGCGCGTTGTCCTTCCCCTAGAATCGCTCTGCTCTAGATGGAAGAAGGTACTGAAAAGGCTTTTATGACTATAGACCATACGCGACCTAGCACAGTGGATGAGGCAAGTAGCTTTTTGAGCTGTTAATTTTCTGACAATAAGTATATAAACAGAGCGCATAATAGAGAGACCTGCTCGTGCAATAGCAATATCTAATGTTCACACATTTCTCCTCCGAAAGTAACTAACTTCATGGAGCTGAGCCCTTCTTGAGAAGCCGCCAGTTGTGTAGATACTCAAGAACTTCACAGAAATTTATGCGGCCCGAAGGTTCATTACCGTGTTCACAAGTGCCTTCCACTTGTCCCTATCCTGAGACAGATCAATCAATTCCATACCATCCCATCCTATCCCTCTAAGATCCATTTTAATATTATCAAACCCATCTACATCGTCGTCTTCCTAATAGCCTTCTTCCATCTGGCTTTCCCACCAATATCCTCTTCCCCCCATTCGTGCTGCATGTTCTTCCCACCTAATCCTCCTTGACTTGATCATTCTAATTATAATTGGAGAAAAGTACAAGTTATGAAACTCCTCATTATGCAGTTTTCTCCAACCTCCTGTCACTTCATCTATCTTAGGTACGAATATTCTCCTCAACACCCTGTTCTCAAACACCCTCAGTCTATATTCCTCCCTTAATGTCAGAGACCAAGTTTCACACCCATACAGATTGACACGCAAAATTATGGTTTGTTTATATTCTAATTTAGACAGCAGGCGTAAAGACAAACGTGTCTGGACCTAATAGAAAAATGAACACTACCTCCGAAAGTAGGCTAATTAGAGAATTTCTATAAAATCAGAAAACAGGGATCTGTTCCGAAACTTTCATGATGAATTGAGAGATGTAGTTCCGTGTATTTTGGTAGACACATCACAGAAGACGACAATCTGGAGGCTTCTCCCTCGGGATAGATGTAATTTGATATAGAAATAATACACGTACCTGATTTATCATTTCCATAAAACATGGAGCTTCAAGGCCAACTGAGCGACTATAATATCCCAGAGAAGGACTGTCTTTTTTGAAGTCCATGCGACGAACACAAACATCCTCGTTAGTCTAGTGGTCAGAGTTCCTGGCTACATATGCAGAGGTTCCTGGTTCGATTCCCGGCGCGACCAGGTTTTCTGAGAAGTAGTGGGTCTGGAACGTGGTCCACTCAGCCTCGTGAGGATAATTGAGGAGCTGTTTTAAGGAAATAGCAGCTCCGGTCTATAAAACCGAGATTAACGGCCGTGGGGAACCGTTGCGCTTACACCCTCTATCCGCAAGAGTTGGCACTAACTTCGCCGACAAGCGGTGGTGGCTCGGTCGGTATAGTTCACTTGCGGGCTAAAGGCCAAGGAGTTTGTTTGTGTTTGTTTTTGCAACGAACAGAAACACGTACATCCGTGAAGTGCTGTATTTATCTTGTTGATTAACTCTGTCAAACATATATTTACATTAGGTATGCACCTTAAATGATCAGCCTAATCAGTAAGGGGTAAGGAAATAACGGGAAATTGATCAGGAATTTGTGTCTACTTCAAGATTTACGGAGTCTCAGTTCAGGAGGTCTGGAGAACGTCACGCCTTGTACCTCACAGACTACTTTATTGTTATTTGCTAGAGCAACAGAGTCCCATGTCGTTAGCGACGTGTTCAGCATCTGTAGCTTGAAATTCAACTGAACAACATTTATAGAGTAAGTTCCTATCTCTCGCAGAACACACTGAGTATCAAAATGATCGGCCGGTGGATGACGTGTAGGGAAAGCGTTTATTATAAGATTCATACGAAATACATAAATACACTCCATTATCAAAATGCAAAAATTTTCAACATGCTTTAAGCAAACAGACTTGAAATGATTCTGACGATGGTGTACAGAACTATTAGACTTATTTTGGACTCTATCCATAGTCTGTTATATATAAGGTCCAGTGAGTGAGACTGGCTCTTTCTAACGGGTCCAACTGAATAGGAAACCACTGGAAATACCAAGATGTAGATGGGTGGACAATATTAAAATGGATCATAGAGAGATAAGATGAGATGGGATGGATTGGATTGATCTGGCTCAGGACAGAGACCAGTGGAGTGCCCTTGTGAACACGGTAATGAACCTTCAAGTTCCTTAAAGTGCTCGAAAATTCTTCAGTAGCTGCAGAATTGGAAGCTTCTCAAGAAGGGCTCAGATCTATGATTGATGTTATACTTATGGGTTAACATGAATGTTACCTTAACGAAGTTTTGGTATCAGTCTACGATTTTTTCCCTCGGCACTACAGCCCCAGTGGGCTACCTCCATGAATTTCTCCGTTCACTTCGGTTTTTCTAGGTCTTACACATTCGGTTGGACTCCTTGGGCTGGTGATCAGCTCGTCGCAAGGCCTCTGCCTGTACACAAACACAGAAAAACGCACACACAGAAATTAAACATCCATGCCCTTAGTGGGATTCGAACCCACGATCCCTGCTTCCAAGCGAGCGAAGAGAGTGTATGCCTTAGTCCGCTCGGGTACCGTGACCGGCATCAGTCTACGATACCTCTTGTAAATCGGAAACATCGATTTCCAAAAGTTAGATTAAACGTGACCCTTGAGTAAGGAAATGATGTTACAATGGACGTTAGAGAAATGTGTTTTGAAGCTGCGAATGCTTTGCCATGTCTCCGTACATAATACAGAGTCGTTCCTTTGGGTTCCATAAAAGTAGGAATTTACTGAACACTTGGGTAAGCAAGTAAGTCTTCAAAGAAATCGTTATATGAAAGAGTTGGTTACTTATGCAAAATCCCAAGTTTCCAAGGCGATGAAAACAGAGTCAGTGCGTTCCTCTCAAAGTTGCTACCCACATATTAGCTTATATGCTGTCATGCTTCAGCAGTCCATCATATGGTTCCTTGGTGCGTTTACAACATTCCTCTGTATATATAAAAAAGTAAAGCTATCCCTGTAACAGGCCATGAAGGCCCATAGGGTTGTGAGACGTCGAGGCTCCCACATCTTCTACACAATCGGCTCACAGAAGGCGGTAAGTTTTTCAGCCTTAAGCTCCGGCAATCTTCTACCCCAGGAAGATTCGTGGTATTGATTTCTGTTAGAGACTGATTCGACTCCATGGCCATAGTGCGGCTGGAAAGATTAAGTAAATTGAAAATAATCCACCGATCGGAACTCGAATCCGCGACCTTCCGACTTGTATCATAGTGCCTCAACCAACTACGCTACCGCGTACCCCTTCTTCTGTATACGAGGTTCGTATTACATGGGCCTAATTACCACGGCATATCACTCTATCCCACTGAAATGCTGAGTATCAAATCTTCCCAAACGCATAGCTGATCTAATCAGGCATACCGGTAAGTGTTGAAATAGCTGAGACAACAATGGGTGTAATTTAATTTAACATAAAATCTCTACATTTTGCCCCCACAGGTTGTATTTATGTGCTTTGTATAATTTGTAAAAAAACAGAGAAAACTAAGTATATGTTGCTGTCTCGTCACCAAAATGCAGGGCAAAATCATGACATAAAGACAGGAAACAGACTTGTTTTAATGTGGCACAGTTCAGATATTTGGGAACGACGATAACAAATCAAAAGCTGATTCAGGACGAAATTAAGAGGAGATTGAACTCTGGTAATGCTTGCTACCATTCAGTCCAGAACCTTTTGTCTTCTCGTCTGCTGTCAAAAAACATAAAAATTAGAATATACAAAACTATAATTTTGCCTGTGGTTCTGTACGGGTGTGAAACTTGGTCTCTGACATTAAGTGAGGAACATAGACTGAGGGTGTTTGGGAACAGGGTGTTGAGGAGAATATTTGGACCGAAGAGAGATGAAGTGACAGGAGGTTGGAGAAAACTGCATAATGAGGAGCTTCATAACTTGTACTCTTCTCCAAGTATAATTAGAATGATCAAGTCAAGGAGAATGAGGTGGGCAGGGCACGTAGCACGAATGGGGGAGACGAGGAATGCTTATAGGATATTGGTGGGAAAGCCAGAAGGAAAGAGACCACTGGGAAGACCAAGACGTAGGTGGGTGGACAATATTAAAATGGATCTTATAGAAATAGGATGTGATGGTATGGATGGGATTGATCTGGCTCAGGATAGAGACCAGTGGAGGGCTCTTGTGAACACTGTAATGAACCTTTGGGTTCAATAAATTGCTGGGAAGTTCTTGAGTTGCTGCAGAATTGGCGGCTCCTCCAGAAGGGCTCAGCTCCATAAGTAAGTAAGTTAAGTATAATTTGTAAAAGAGAGAGTAACTATTTCTCGAAATAACATTAACCGATTGGTATTTGAAATAGTAACGCAGTATGTTATCTATGAGGTGGGAAGTTAATTTTAAGTATCATTTAGAAGCGTTTAGTGCTTCAAAGGTATAATAACATAAAGACTAATATAAGATGTATTATCACATGCTGTAAGGGGTCTGCTTGTAAATCTATACCCGTTACATTTACGGGCATCTTTGTCTGCGGATAGAGACTAAGAACTACCTCATGTGCACATATATGAGTAGTGATTTTAGTGTTCTGTAATTGTTGACAGTTTGGGCCGNTGTGTGGTTGTTTTTTGGTGTTTTGGTATTTTTTGGAGTGTGGGGGGGGGGGGGGGGGAATTTTATGGCTTCCTGTGTGTGTTACGATGTTGCTTTTACACGCGAACTATGGCTCAAACGCATGGCAAATCTAAATTCCACCCATTGCT